AATAAGAGAGAGTCCCCGTTTCCCCCATTTTGATTTAAATCACAAACGCGTGTTTAATTAACTGTCTTTATTGATTCACAATAAGACAAATGCAACGTAAATCGTTATCTTTGTCTTCTAAGTATCTTAATAAACTTTCAGCATAGCTTTCTTCCCGTTTAGATTTATTTTTCTTGGGATCTTGGGATCAAACAGATTGTAATAGTTTTTAACTTTTAAATACATTTTAGAAATGTGTAATCTAAACTAAAAAGCTGTATTTATTTAATATCACTCGATACTTATATAAATGGAGTTTAGTTGATTCTGTTTAAACTTTTAATTATTTTAAACTGTATTATAGCATTGTACACATGCTTAAAAGAGAAGAGAGAAAACGCAAGCCTTCTTCAGGTTTGAGGGTCTTCTGCTCAAAATGAAACGCTAAAATGTAATGTAGGCTCAGAACGGGTTCAATTATGATTTGGGGTTGATTGAGGTCGCTGCCTTTCATTTGCAATCCTGCTTGAATCCTTCTGAACTAAAAATTAGAAACAGGAAAAGAAGAGGCTCTGGTGAAATTTCTCTTTTTCTTAATTTATCTTTTTTTTCTTGGAAAAATATCTTACACGCTGCAATCCGGGCACAGAAAGGTTAAAAAAAGTCAGACAGTCAGGTGGAGGGTGAGTTGTGAAACTGTTACCTGGATAAAGAGGTATCCAGGTAACAGTGAAACGGGCGTACAGTCTTGGTGTAACGAACAGTTGTTTCCGGACCCTATGCGGACGACACAGTCCGACGGAGTGGGGAAACACTGGGGAAACGTCATGCAGGAATACGGGGCAGAAGACAGGGGGGCGTGTCCAAGGTGCGCTGGTGCACGGGGGAGGTGTGGCTGAGGCGAACAATCCGAGAGAGTAGTCCTTAGGGAATATCCAAAACGCACGGGTAAGTCCAAAACCAGAAGATCCATCAGAACAAGAATTAAAAACCACGAAGGCCGGGTCGGAACCTGCGGACGGGGAACAGGAACGGGAACAGAGGTTAAAACCTTAACGGGACCAGGCGCTTCCAGGTCCTGGACTCGCACGATATGGAAATCAGATGCAGAGCCCGGATGAGCGTCAGCGCCTGGCTTTTAAGGTGGGCTAGGTAAAAGGGATCAGGTTCACAGAATGAAGTCTTTAGTGAAAGGGCTGGAGCACCCTTAAGGAGGGGGGGCTATAATCGTGACACTTGGGAGATCGCCAGTTTTCCATGTAAATAGTTCCCTGGTTCCGCGCCCCTTGGTGTTACTCTCTCTTTTCTCTCTCGCTCTCTCTCTCTGTCGGGCTCGCACTCTGGCTCACCTGCAGTCTTTTTACCACGCAGAATATTCTTATGTCTATGTCTTCTCAAGGGAATCAGTGCGAATTGTAATACTAATTAAATGACCACGAGCACTTTCCACCCCCTCTACATTCTCAGAGTAGAATAGGCTAACCTTCTAATTAAAGACAGTCACCCTCCCCCATGGACAGGAAAAGTGCCCGTAGGCAGGGCAGGTAATATGGTCAGGAACAGTTAACAGTAAAATACTCAGATGGAGCACGTAAAAACGTTTCCGAAATAACCACATAAAAGACTTTGATGGTTAAAATGTTTAGGGAGAAATGGAATACTGGTGTGTATCTTTTCTTTAAACTACCAAGGCCAGCAATATACAGTACAGTTTACATAATATGTTTATGTTAAGACTGATAGCAGGAACATTCCTATTCTTAACTCAGCAGCTTATTAAAAACAGTGTTCAAATATTTTTTTTTACACAGAAGAGTGACACAATGTCGTGTTGTGAATCTGTTTTTCCGTGTTTACAAAGAAAGTGGAATAAAGTAATATTACGTGCTATATAGATACATATTTTTAGATATTTAGATACTTAAATTAATATCATTATTAATTTCTTTAGATTCACGATTCCATACTATATTTCCTATTATAAAATGGATAATTCCAGTCCTGAAATCTGATTGCATGACAGACATTGGAAGAAGTCCTATATTTTCTAATATACGCATCCCCCAGAATTTTGACTTCACTGTGTGTTGAAGAAATTTTAAAGACTACTTCTTAGCGTAGATAAAAATGCTTGGATTATCATGTATCTGATACACATATCTTTTTCTGTTGTCTTTGCTGTGCTCTTAAGGATCCTTGTGATATTTTGAGCTCTCGTTGAATAATAAAAGTGTCACAGTTTAAATCATTTTCATTGTTAGAAATTATGAAATGCTCTGTTAAAAGCAAGGGTGTTTTTATGTCTGTTATAGTAAAATAAAATGCCCGACGAACTAGGGATTGGACAGTTTTTCAGTGCTTGTACAATCGATGGAAATGTTCAAATAAATGTGCTAATGAAATAAAAAAGTCATTTATTCCTTTATCATATTGGCTAGCTAATGTCCTGTCCTTGTTCATTAGATCAACGAAATGCTGTGGTGTTACTTTTTGTCAATGAAAAAATAAACTCTTTTCGTTTAAAATGACGGTTACAAAGAATGTGGACCAGCATAATATTTTGAGTTTACAGCTTGTCCAAGGTCATTCATTATTAATACTATTAGTAATATCTTCGGTAAAGGCTTTGATGCATAAAATATTTCTGCATAATTAAAATATTTATGATAAAGGTAGGTTGTGTACTTTTGCCCACCTGAGCAATTTTGTTTTCATAAAATATACCAACTTTTTAATGACTGATGATTAACATGCTGTAAAACACAGTTTAAATTTAAAAGCTCAAATGCTGTACATGAGAGGTTAGGCTTTATGGGCTCCTCCTGGTGGTTTTACAAGGTGATTCAGGATACTTTCTGGTATGACGTCAAATGAGGCGTTACACCACGTCATACTGCGTTTTGATGCGACTCGCCCACCGCGTTGTACTTTGGTGTACCTCACGCATTTTGAATGGCTGCATCTGTACATGTGACCATTGCGGTTCCGCGCGGTGTCCTGCCCCCCGCCACCCATTCTATCCCGCAGCACCTGGGGAACCAGCTACCAAAGGAGACTAAAGCCGCTAAAGGAAGCTAAAGGAGACCTCCCTCAGACCAGGCAGCTGAGGTCCCTGCTACGCGCAGTGAGGGCACTGACGTCACCATATCCGAACTAGCTCCGTTACACCCTCCCTTGCTGAACTTCACCTCGGCGAAGGACACTCCCGTCCAGGTCACGGCACCAATTTGACAGTTGCGGTTCCGCACGGTGTCGTGCACCCCGCCACCCATTCTGCCCACAGCACCAGGGGCGCGAACCCGGGTCTCCCGCATAACGCAACAGGGAACCAGCCGCGTGAGTTAAATGAGACCTCCCTCAGCCCAGGCAGCTGAGGTCCCTGCTACGCGCAGTGAGGGTGCTGACGTCACCGTATCCGAACTAGCTCCGCAACATACACACGTTCACTGTGTGTATGCTCAATATACAAAATACTGCTGAATACGGCTTCGTGCGAAAAACCCGTATATCTCCATAGGAAGCAGAACAGCGCAGCCTGAAATGGCCTAAACATTGTGTTGTCTTTCTTCTTTTCAGCATGGAATAAACCTATTACTTGTTCCTTTGCAGCCTATGCATGCTGTATGCAGCTACCCACCTGTATTAAACCTATTTCACTCAGTAGTTTAAACTAAGTGTAACATGCTAAGAGGAAAAAAAGTCTCCGCGGGAGCACATCTGCAATAGAAAGCAACCGGTTTGACATGTACAGTAAAATGGAACATCTCTGGAGCGTCAAGTATATATCCAACAGTGTGAGCTCATTTGCAAGGCTATTAAGGTTGATTGAGTTACTGTAACAGTCCAGGTGTGGCAAGTTTCTACTGTCTTCTAACTGTCTTGGGCGAAAGGAACCTGTCTTTCATTGGAAGACAATGAACCTATTCTACTCCTGCATGAGAATATAGTATAAATACACCAAGGGATTGGGCTGAGTTCACATTGCAAAACAATCTGAGATCCTGCACTACAGCAACCATAGTATGGAGACAAAGACTTTTTACAGGAAGAGACGTGGTGCTTCAGCTGCCTGTGTGCGTTAAACAACAGTGTGGTGTTACCTTTTGTCAAAGTGTGTGTATATGTCTCTCTTTCTGCTGGCACGCGGGCACGGGGGGCTGATGTGCCAGCTGTACTGAAAAATAAAGCGCTGTTTTTCATTCAACAAGTGCCTCAGTCACTGTATCTGTCCTATATAATAATGCCACAATATTATAAGTGCCCTTAGGCTGGGCAATCTAATTTTTTAATTAAAAAAAAGAAATAAAAATTGAGATGTAATGATGTGTTCCTGCTTAAATTGCATGACTTTAAAAGTGATAAAATAAGTTTTGATAGTTAATACCACGTTTTGTGCACGAAAAACGGGTGATTTTTCTTCCTCGTCATCAGATCTTTCTTGGAAAAATGTCTTTTATGTGTCGCGAAAAAACTGACTTGCTTTAACAAAAGTATATTTACTAATCCTTTAGCTTGGCAATATACCTGAATGCCCAACTATCCGAGAAGCCCTCCGTGAAACCGAAAGAACCACAACTGAATGAGTTTTGACAATAAGAGAGAGAAGAGATTAATAAGAGAGTCTACATTAGCCAAATGGTAAATTAAAACTTAAATGCATATTTAATTAAATGCCTCTATCGATTCACAATCTGACAATGCAATGTAAATCGTTTTCTTTGTCTTCTAAGTGTCTTAATCAACTTCCAGCATAGCTTTCTCTCCATTTAGATTTATTTTTCATACCATCACTAAACAAAGCAGGAGCTTATTGTAATTCTTCTTGGGATCAAACGTGGAAAGATTAGATAGTAGTCATTTTTATTTTTGAAATAAATATATAGAAAAGTATAATCTATACTAAAATGCTATATTTATTTAATACTACTTGATAGTTATATTAATAGAGATAAGAATTCAAGGTGATACTGTTTAGACTTTTAATCATTTTAAACTGTAGTACAGCATCTTAAACATCAAACATGAAAAAGTCAGTATATTTTATAAAAGCAAGATTGATCAGTTGGACAGCATAAAGCAAGTATGTTTTTTAATGTTTGTAATCACTATTCTTACAAGTACAAACACAACATTAACTGGAATGGTACAGAACCCTAAACAAACAATACACACTAGCCGAATATACAGTAGCTGTGTCAGTCTTCTGTGCAAAAAAATCACGGACATCATGATTTGAACATCATTGGGTGGTGTTTTTAAAAGGCTGTTGAGTAAAGAATATGAATTTTCATTTTTGTACGCTCTAAATTTCACTTTGTTTCTTTCTCACCCGCTGCAATTCGGGCACAGAAGGGTTAAAAAGAAAGTCAGACAGGCAGGGGGAAGGGTGAGTTGTGAAACTGTTACCTGTTCTGGATAAAGCGGTTAGAAAATAGGTGGATGTATAAGTATTCAGCTTATATTTGGTGGAAGCACCTTTGGCAGTAATTACAACCATACTGTAAGTAGTTTTTGGTAAGTTTCCACCAACTTTGCACACTGACTAGATGCCATTTTTGCCATTTTATCTTGGCAGATTTCCTCATACTCTTTCAAGAAGTTACTTTTAAAATCTTTCTACAGATTCTCGGTGGAATTCACGTTAGGACTTTGACCATGTTACTCAAAGAGTCCATGTTACTCTAAGACATTAAATTAATTTTACAGATTTTCTTTTAGTATTTGCTTATACATTACTTTACCCGACCATTTTTTTTCAATCCTAATAAACTTTAAGGTCCCTTTAGAGGGGCAGCATCTGTATACTGTAGCATAATGTTGTCTCTACCATATTTAACTGTAGGGATCGTGTTGACTGGGTGGGGAGATATTTTTTATGCCAGATGTAATACTTTGCATTTACGCTAAAATTGTTCAATTTCAACTCATCTGATCACAGAACGTATTTACCGTATTTACATTATTACTTAAATGTTTTGTTGCAAACTAGATGTGGAAAATAAAATTTGAGATGGATTGCTACTCTACTATAAAGGCAAGCTTTTGTAGTGACTAGGATATTGTTGACTCTTTTTGTCCTATCTCAGGCTTTTAACTCTCTACCTTTTTGTTATTGTTCTCAGAGTGGCATTCATTGCCTGGCTGCTCTGTTTACAGACATGATACAGACATGGGCTGGGACTTTCCATTTCTTAATAATTGAGGGCACTGTGCACACAAGTATATTCAGAGATATTTTTGTACCCTTTCCCTGATCTGTGCTTTTCAATCACTTACTTTGTAAGCTCTTTAGTTTTCATTACTGAGTCTTTTCTTTAAATACAAGATTCACAAAATGTTGAAATCATAAGAATGATAACCACTATTATTACACACAGAAATGGGCTACTTAACAAATTGTGTGGCTCATTAACGTAATTTTATGGAGAAAAATACATTTAGGTTTGCCACAGGTAAGGGCTTGAATGCTTATGCAATCTTGTCTTTATTCCATTTTTCATTCGTATTATGTATTTACATCTTTTTATTTGTTTTTTGCTTTGCTTTGAATTTGTGGGTAGTGTATATAACAAATATTTATTGCTAAATCAAAGTGTCATAACTGCAAGGCTTTAAAGCAATAAAATGTGAAAATTGTGCAAGATTCAGAATACATTTACAAGGTACTTGTAGGCAGAATATAATTTTTTCAACAGGAATTCTACGGTGATCAGTGAACTGAACACTAGATGTTGTCTAAACAGTTTTACATTTTTGCTTCTTACTCTTTTTAGGATCACAACAACAGCTGCCTGCATGATGGATCTGCGCAGGTATCCATTGGATGAGCAAAACTGTACTCTGGAGATAGAAAGCTGTGAGTTTCTGATATTGTACATCATAAATAATTTACAGTGGTGTTAGAATTGTATTTTTTTAATGAAACATGATCCTCATCTGGAAGATACTGGTGCAAATCCATGAAAAATGCTCAGAACAACTAGAAAGACCACAATCACATTAAACGATGGAGATTCTTTTTCAATAAAAAAGATATGAAGCTTATATTAGAGTAAAATAAATGAAAGACATGTTTCAATGGAAATTGATCAAGCATATAATATACATTTAGCATGCTATATGTAACAGCAGTCCTAAATTTAGTTTGTTTCCTAGCCCCAGTCTCTGCCACGTGAATTACCAAATCCTCTCACTTCATCCGTGTAAAAGTCTCACAGGATATTCCTAATACCATTTCAGGTTATACTGCCATACAGGGTACTCATTTAGTAAAGGAAAACAGGCTGCCCAGGCATAATTGTCGAATGTCTTACTGAAAGCTTAAAATGTTATTGAGGCATTATGGACTATGGATGCTGTAATGGGTATTACTGATGAATTCTGGAGCAGTTTAGTATACCCCAGTTGTTCAAATCCACCCAGATGTGTTTGAGTAACAATGTTGTTAACACTGCAATGGACTGGTGTTCCATTTAAGGGTTACTAATGCTAATTAGACTAATTAATACTAAGTCCAGCTGGAACTACAGAATCTGGGATAATCCATAACCTTAATTACATCTCTATGTTTTCAGTAAAACCACAGAGTAAGAGCTGTTTTATAAAACTGCCTATCACAATCCAAAATTATCCTTCCAGGAAGGTTAACTGTCTCAGTATGTTAATGTGATGTGCCATTTTTGTACATATGAGAGGGCATTGTTGCAGAGGAGTACAGAAAACTATTTCATAGGTAAGCAGATCAATCTACAAATACATCTGTTACTCAGGTACTTGTGGATAAATTATAACAAATAATCAGTTTATTGGGGTATGCTCACAGGATTTTGTTGGTAAAGAAACCTATTTACACTCTTGAAATAAATCTCTGTGTAAGAAAGTCTAAAGCACAACTCTGTGTACAAAGAGAATGACTTAAAATCTATTTTTTTAAAGGGGATATAAAGAGAGTATAGAATCACAAATTTGAATTATTTTATTTCACACAAAAAAATGAACCAATAATTGTCCAGTGTAAGGGTCATGCTTTCTGATTTCTGTTTGTACAATTAAGTTGCCCGGACTAGTTCATTCCACACAATGTGATGCTTATTATTATGTAATCGTTGATGCAAAAATTGTTACTCTGGCTATAAGCAAATAAATATTTTTCACAGACAATTATGGGGATCATTCTTATGTGGATCACTTAGTTTTAAAAGTGTATTGCATGTCAGTATTAAATGAAGAATTTAGAAGTACTTTGTGACTTTAGTCTTTAGTCTGGATAACCAGTGATGCTGTACTTTATTGTATTGCTGTTTTTGATACCTAAGAACATAAAATATGGCAAACAAAAGGCCAGTTTTGCCTATACAAATGTATATTGATGTGAGGATCTCATCCTGCTATTTCTTCATAGACCCTAGGATCACCTATTCTCAGTTTTATATACATTTCCTGTGCTTTCCCTTAGTTTCCTAAAAAATGGTTTGATTTTGTCAATGTTTTTGATGATTTTGAATATCCCATCATAGTCTTTTCTGTTGAAGACTAAAATGTTTAAAAGCTTTTAGCCTGTTAGAGTAATAGTTTTCTTTAAGCAAAGGAAAATATTTTTTTATGCTGCATGCTTTTCTTTGGCTTAATTTCCAATCAGTACTGGAATTTGTTGTAACACAACCAAATCACACAATATTTGAAATGAGCTTTCACAAGTTTTACAATTTCAATAACCTTTATCTAGTTAGTACACATTTAACTATACAGTATTTACAGTATACAGTTTAACACATGATATCACTATTGTGATAATAATCTTAACTGGTTAGCAAATAGAACAAGTAGATATGGGATATAGAAATGGGGTGATGGCATTAGTGAAGTATCACAGGAACCCACATTATGACCATTGCTCTTCTTATTATTTTGTATCTATGATTTAGATTCAAGTGTACTAGGTTAGCTGGTCTTGTTTGCAGATTATACCAAATTGTGAACATCTGTAAAAGCAGCAGTTGAAATGAAAAAAAAAAATTAGATACATTTCAAGAATGTAAAAACTTCTGGCAAATGAGGTTCAATGTAGATGAGTATAAGGTTTTGTATGCATTTAGTAAAAAAATTAACTATGAATATAAAATGGGAGACGCTGAGCCACAAAAAGTCCTTATGAAAAAGACTTTAGTGTTTATACACATCTTTAACATCTTCTGGACAATGCAAAAGGCAAAACAATTTTGGATATAAAGTTAAAAGCACATAATCAAGAGATTCAGGTGTGTAGCTGCATCATGTAATAGGTTTATTCCATGTGGAAAAAAAAAGAAAGAAAACACATTTTGGCCATGGAGCCTTCTTCATGTGAGCCCTGAAGAAGAAGAAGCCCTTCTTCTTGACTCGTGAAGAAAGCTGCACGGCCGAAATGTTGCGTTTTCTTTATTCTCTTTTCAGCATGGAATAAACCTGTTACGTGTTCTTTATAATCAAGAGATGTTATGTCAAAACTGTAAGAGCTAGTATGGCCTCATTAAGAAAATTGTTTTGGTCACCTTATTATAGAAAAAAATATTTTCATACTGGAACCAGAAATCCAATGCATACCAATGCTTAAGGTTTTCAGCACAGAATAAACTTTTACCTGTTTCTTTGTACAGTAGCTTATGCATGCTGCTGCAGCTACTTACTCGAACTGATTCCATCCAGCAGACTTCATCAGAAAAAATGGTGAATCATGAACCACGGGTACAGATTCAGCCATTCAAAATGAGCGAGGAACGTTACATTAAAACGTGGTGGACGTTGCACAATATACCACATCCTACTGCATGTTTTTATTTTAAAAGGATAAAAATAATTTATAAAACTGCCAGGTGGGGTTAATAAAGCTTAGTGTTTTATGTACAGTATTTGAGCTGTGGCCAGAAAACACCCGGTTTCGAATCCTGGGCACTGCTGAGGGACAATCTTTTTCCAATTAAGAATTTAAGTTGTATACTGTTTAGAGTTTGAATAATTTTAAACTGTGTATTACAGCATGTTAAACATTAAATATTAAATAGTTGATATATTTTATAGAAGCAAGATTGCGCAGTTGGACATAAGTACACAACCTTTCACCTTCTTCATAATTTAATTATGCATAAATATGTTATGCATCAAAGTCTTTAACTTGGTAACTTACAGTGGGTTTCCATTTTAAAGTGCTTGTTATCTCATTATTAAGTTTATGTTCTGTACTATGTTCTGTAAAATTATAATGCTTTATTCTTTTCTAAGAATACATAGTAAGAACACCACTTGCTGTTATTGTAAAAAATATAAATGTTGTACTGATTTAACATCACTTGATAGTTATATTAATATGGAATTGTGTACCTAAACTGATCACAAATGGACGTTTTGGAAACATTTTGACATGCGTTTCTTTACAAAAAAAAATAGTCTATTGTCCGTGTAGTGGTAATGAGCACTGTGTAGCGGCAAGGCTTTTTAAAATACAGGAATTAAGTTTGCTGCTCCCTTGCCAGTCCCTCTCTCCTTCATCTCAGTGGTTCTGGATACAGAGAGGCCATTCCATTTGGTTCACATTTAAGGTGTTTTTCTAGCTGTTAGAGTGCCCTGATAAGGAATAACTCCCAAAGCTGAGACACATCAACCACCCTAACAAATGGTCATCTCTGGCGCCTTCCTGTCTGGGAGATTCCAAGGGAGAGACTCATTTAAAGTTGTTTACAACCCTAAGGTCATAGTACATTGTTACTCATCCTCAGCCAATCAGGAACTGGTAGGGGAGGTTAACCCCACGTAAGTCTCGAATGCCCACAGAACTTTCAATTAATGAACGTCCATAGTTCCTCAAAGGTAAAACAGGCAACACAGAGCCCAGAAGGGCTCCTCCTGGAAATTCTCAGACTCAGCTCGGACAATCACATAATGGCCAGTGTGTCCGAGTGCCAGGAATTTCCTTTGTTCTAAGAGTCGAGAACAGAGGTCACCAGCCCGTAACCAAAGGATCCACCCAAAGGATTAGCCCAGCAGCAAGCCTCGTAAACCCACCGCAAAAGCTCACCTGATCAACAAGTGAACTACGGTCGGAACTGTGGACAGCTGAATCTAAGGATTCAGGACTAGCGCTACATCAGGAACAAACCGGTCTTCTTCCTGTCTAAAGAGTGTGACCTG